TGATTTTAAGTTAATGAGTGGTTGTTTATTTGGTCAGTCTAGTAATGCAAAGTTCGCCTAGCAAGCGAGAACCTCGGGTGGACCAACTTTGGATCCCCACTCGATGGGCGATGCATGATTGATGGGACTTTTGGTTGCCATTTTTGCCTGCTGCCAGGCCATTCCGGCCCACTGTGCTCGGTGCACCAGTGGGTGCCATAAAGCGCACAAGTGCCAAATTGCTTAGGCAAACTACGTTAGTTATTACGAACGACGGTTGCTACGTTCGAGGCGACTTGGTTACTTTGGCCCCGTTCACTTCGATTCGATCCTTTGGCTGTTGCTTTTGCCATTGCTGTTGCTACTGCTGTTGCCATTAATGCTGTTGCCATGGCCTGTTAAAGGCTCATAACTTGGCTTTAATGTTGCGCATACGTATCGAGCATACGCCATGTGTGCCGCCTTGACAAGAACATAAATAGCCAGCCGAATTCGGGGAGTACGGCCACCGAATGTTTACCCACCGACAACTGTCAGTTCCCTAAATGTCTGACTGCCTGTTTGTCCCAAAAAGCAGAAGACCAACAATGGATAAACAAAAAAAAAAACAGAAAAACCCGAGTTTGCCGGAGACTCAACTCCCTGACAGGCTAAAAGCTCAGCCGCCTAAAACACAGAAGCAGCAATCACTTAACTCTTGCCCCGAACGCAAACGGAAAGCCCCTTGATTTTCCACCTGCAATGCCAACACTTCAACCTTGTGCACACACGCCCATTTTTCCCGTCTCAAACTCAAAAAAAACCAACAATGGGTTAAAGTTGAGATGCGAGGGAAAACAAAGTGAGGATAAAGTGGCTGCCATGTTTTGACTGGCATCGTATTCAAATTCTAGTTAATCACATTTTGGGTTGGACTTTATGCTGTGGGTAAATTGATAAACAAAATAGAGTAGACTGTTGTTATTGTATCTTAAGGATACACAATTGAATTTGAATTCCAATCATTGCACTTTGTAAGTGCCAATTTAAATGGCTCTACTAAATTAACAAAATATAGTAATCTGTTGTTTTTGTATCTTAAAAGTACCTAATTGAATTTATTTTTAAATCATTACATTTTTAATGGGCAATATAAATTAAGGATCTTGAAGTACCTTTTTTATGGCTCTATTAAATTAACCCCCAGCACCAAAGCAATCGCAGGCACTGCGATTAGGTGCAGAACTTTTGATTGATAGCGCCGCACTCGAGGAAATCCCCATGGATCTATATAGAACCGTATCAGCCGTGTCCCACGATAACAATGCATCCAGAGCCGCACGGCAACATTGTTTTCCACTTAAAATGCCATCGGGTAGGAGTGTATACACACTACCGCCGGTACTCTGATATTTTCCATCATAATATTTATTTAGCCAAATGCCTCCAAAGCCATGTTATCAACATAGGCACCCCCCTTAGCTGCCACACTGATCCATGATTGATGGAAGGTGAAAATGCGAGGGGAAAAGGCGAATAAATTACCGAGCCAGAGGGCGTGATGCAGTTCCACATATTATATGCAGATTTCCAAAAAAAGTATAGCAAACGGCAATTTCTATTAATTAACACAGCGTTTTTGCAAAGCCCCGTTGTTTCCATTCCAGGGAAAACACAATCTGCAACCGAAATGCGATGCATACGTGTTTGCCCCTCATCGCTGTCAAATAGCCCGCGGCATCTTTCAACCATTCCCAGTTGTTCTTTACTTTTTTCCCTCGCTTTTTTCAATTTTATGTGTATTTTTATTGAATTTTATATGCGAACCCCTGGCACACAAAACGAACCAAAAAATAAATAAAAACGACAAGAAATGAAAATTGAATATTTTATGTGAAGTGAAGCAAAGAACAAAAAATGGATCAACAATTGAAACATCACATTTTTATATGTTAGCACGAGAAATGGGAAACAATTTCTTTATATCAGAAACAAAGTCATATAAAAATCTCCAAAACATTTTCAATTTGTACAATGGGCTTATACATTGAATATTAAAAATATTTCGAGGATTGGAGGTATATATTATTTGCTGATTGAGTTGTTTAAAACTTAAAAATTTATTTAAATGAAATTAGCATCTTATTTTACGTTTAAATTTAAAGCCAAATTTTTAAAAAATGTTATAAAATTCGGAATTACAAACTATTTTGAAAAAATCGTATCATTAAATGATTCAGTTTAATTGAAATTTAAAAAATTTTTAAATAAATAAACGGTTTTCTAGGGCAATTTCTTATAAACTTATTTTTTTTAATCTTAAATTGTATATGCCAAGTAAGCCTCCTTTTCATATTTGATTGTCCATTGTAGGCAAACGCAAGGACAACAAAAGCAAGGAAGCGCAAACAGGAATGCCACGTATACGCCGTGTTGTCTGGCGTTTTCCTGTTGCCGGGGAAATGGAAAATCAAAGATTGCCGACCGCACACCGTGCCGTTTTCCGCCGTTTTCCACCGTTTTCCACCGTTTTCCGCCATTTTCGCCATTTCGCGCTCTTATGTCAGTGGGGAAAGCCGGTCACGCGCCAATACAGCCGCTGCAACATCCTCCAGCTTGCAGTTGCTTAAACGCAGCGATTAGCAAAAGGACACGTACGAAGGATGCCAAGGATGCGTGTGCGGATGCGTGTGCGGATGCGGATGCGGATGCGGATGCGGATGCTAGTGCTGGTGCGGGTGCCAGTGCGGATGCGGATGCGGATCCCGCAACAAGTTCGGTTAACGAGGCTGGCCAACAAGGGCCCAAATCCCATGCCGGAGTGGCCTAAACCCAAACCGCTCTTTGTGGCCAGCGAATTTGTGAATGGCGCATCGTTTAATACAATTGCACACGCTGCGTATGCGTAACGAGTTCGTTTCCCCTTTTCGCAGGAGCTTTCTCAAAGGGATTTGTCGCCCCGAAAATCGTAGACAGTTTTTCATTGAATCATCTCATTGACACACACACAACTGGGGGGGGGGGAGGGGTTTCGCCATCAGCGAGACAATGAAAATGTGAGTAATTCAATTTATAAAGAATAGCAAGCACAAGGACATGCCAAGCTTTTTATTTTAAATTTGAAATTTTAGCATCTCAAATTTAATGGTACTTTAATAGAGTTCTTAACCTTATTTCGAACATACAAAGGTGTTGTTGGAATTTCAACTAAATTAGTTACAGAACTTCTGGTGTTTTGATATTTCTAGCAAAACTTTTATCAGTTAAAAGTTTGGCATTCCTTGAATAATAATAATAATAATTTAAAAAGTTTTTAGATCTAAAGAAGCTCGTAATCATAGAAAAAACAAAAAATCATTAGAGTAGATAGCCCTATAAAATTTCTAAAATTGATTTTTCTCATTTATTTTGGCTCTCATATCATATATTTTTAAAACCCATTGTAAAAATCAGTTTCGATTCAATACACCCATAAAAATCCACAAAAAGAATTAAATATTTAGATCATAAAATTCCGAAATAAAATCAAAAGAAATCGACGGAGTTCCCACTGAAGACTATTTAAAATCGTTTTCTAAAAACCACAACACACACATACACACGAAAAAAAAAACTCTCACACATTAAATCACGAAATTAATCAACAATTTTCCTAGGAATTTGTTCAATGATTTTGAATAAGTAATTTCATATTTACCGTTTCGCATTCAGTTTTTCTTTTCAATGGAACGCACTTTTCAGTCGTTCGAGTCCAATGAAAATTTCGTGCACATTTTTGTGCGTTTACACGTTAACAGTTAGGATTCAAAAACGCACAAAAACTTGAAATATACTTGTTCTGAAAATGGTCTGCTATGTTTTTTAACTTTTAGTTATGAGTTTCTTTCCTTAACTTTTAGGTTGATATTTTAAAAATATAAGTTAAATACTTTTGAATATCTTTGAATACTTTTAAATATATATTTATACAAGTTAATATAGTTTTAGCACAACACTTAGAAGCACAATCAAAAAAAGAGTTATTTTATATTTGTATATTGTGAGTTTTTCAGTATGTTTTGTAACTTTTGGTTTTGGTATGGGATGTTTTTGTTTTGGGCGATGCGATGCGAAGCGATGCTGAGTTGAAGAACTTGAGTTCCAGAGAGTTTTGTATTTTTGTTTGAAATGTTCGGTCTGCTTGGGGCTGTTCTGCTATTTATATGAGGTATTTTTCTAGCACAACGCGCCTCTTCGACCGTTCAAATGAAACTGATGCGAAGGCGACGCGTTGCAAGGAATATAAAGCGACCGGGAGCGAGAGGGCGCTATTGGGAGCCGATGGCGGAGCAAGCGAGATGGCAGGACTCGGCCGGGGATTTCGGCCGGGTTCGGGAGATCCCGAAGTGCTATAAACACCTGTAAGCAGCCCTCGATGCCGGCGAGAGAGAGAGATAGCGAGAGAGCGAAAGAGAGAGGGAGAGAGAGGGACTAAAAAGCCGTATCGCTCTCACTCCCTCCCTCTTGCTTGCCGCCACCCACGCTCCCGGTCGCCCATCTCTGTCCCACCTCCCTCTCTCCCTCTCGCTCTCATTCGAAAGCGGAAGGAAACTCAACAGTTGGCACATTACGCCGTGGAGAGAGGAGCGGAGAAAGTTGAGCAATGAAATGCAGATGAATGCGGAGAAAAGCGGGCGGCATTTCGTTATTTGTGCCCATCAAATTTATGGCAATCATTTGTTTGGTGTTTCAAGTTGGGCCAACACAAGTGCCCAAAAACTATTTATCGATAATTATCGGTAGAGCCGGTTGGGGGGGGGGGGTAATCCAAACGATTATGATAATGACTTTGTCAAGTATTATAAATCAAACTGTTTGCCATATCTTTCGATTCTAATAAATCGTTTCATGGCATACTTAATTCTCACCTATTATTAAAATGCTTATCGGGATAATCGGAAATTAATCGATCTACTTGTTATCGATCAACAGACTAGAAAACTATTTTTATTATTATTATTTTGACAAGAAAATGGTTAATTATTAGTATCTTAACAATGTGATTGAGGCTACTATTTAAAGTGTAATTTATTTACACAAAACAAACTTTATAAGTAAGCAGTATATTTTTTCATTATATAGCTTATAATTTTGGTACATTTCACCAGGATAAGAGGTTCCAAAAATCGTCATAGAAATCATCTGTTTCATTTTCTGTGTCGACTTCGTCGAGTAACTTTTTGAGTTTTCTCAATAGTTCTTTATCCTTTTCCAGCTTATCCAAAACTTTTTCGGTGTCACTTTTTAACAATCCGTGTTTTTTTAAAATTCGAATTACACGCTTCTCAAAAGGTGTAAATTTTTGTTCTTTGGATCGGGGATGTCCTTTTAAAATGTTGAGGGACATCCAGTTCACAAACCCAGGATCCCGTTCTTCAGCGAGACTTGGTATCGTCAGCTTTCCGGAACTTGGCTTATACACCTCGTTGGGTCGCTTGGTTGACAACTCAAGGTCGAGGGTCGATCCAGAGACAGCTAAAATAACCAGGAATCCAATGACATGCAAGTAATGCATTTTAAAGACTGGGTATGTGCCTGGTGCTTAACTGCTACTTATATACACTTTTCAGAGCTACGTTATCAATGAACACAATTAGGTAAAATTCAATTACAGATAGCTTGACACTGATTTATAACTAAGCCTTGACTACTAACTTAACAAGATAGTTCCACTTCCTGTATAAGCCGGAATGTTTTGGTTAAATATCAAATAACCAGAATTACATAAAGATAATAGTTAAATATATTTAAAGTGTTAATAAGTTGGCGAATTTGGAATACATTACAGGCTACGCAAGAATCTTGTTTGGTCTTTTTACCACAAGATTTACATTGATCCAAAAAATATTAAAGAAAAAAAGGAATGTATTGGAATAATTTTGAGATAACCAAATCACATTGGCCTAGTGCTTTCCCCTATCAAAAATCAATCACTCCAAACTCCAAACTAACCCAAAATATATACCATATATCATACATAATATTGCAAGGATGGATTGCGATAATCCCAGTTTAGAGGACCAGCGCGAGCGAGTGGATAATGCGATCGTGACCGCCATGGAGGATCTGGATCGGGACTATCTGCGGAAGCTGCAGATCGAGATGCACGCCTGTGCGACCGCCTGCTGTGCGGATGCGGATGCGAATGCGGAGGCGGTGGAGCGGTGCGTGGACCGCTGCCAGATCCGCTTGACCCGCGCCCGCTGCTTCGTTCAGCAGGGCATGTCCGACTTCGAGAATCGCCTGGAGAAGTGCCTCCAGCAGTGCCGCCTCCATGGATCCTACGACCACCTGGAACGCTGCTCCAGCAACTGCGTGGATAGCCACGTGGGCCTGCTGCCCGAAATGCTCAGGGCCATGCGAGACACCCTGGAAAAGGGCGTTTAAAAAGGTTCTATTGGGTATCAAAAAATAAAAATTCCTTATTTTACTTTAAAATATTATACTTAAATACTGTAGGTTACATAAATAAAATTTCGCCTTACGAACTACGAGCAATAGCTACTATTAAATCCTTAAAATCATAGAAAAGGTTTAGAATTAGGCACTTTAAAATCATAGAAATCTTGTTCTATCATAAGAAATTCCAGATACGAACTTCAAGCTAAAATAAATTAAATACATATAATCAAGCACCTGTCTTTAAAATTTCTATAATTCTATAAGAACCATCAGTTCACCGTATTAGGTACCTATTGGCAGGCCTAAAACACAATTAAACGCCACTTAACTGCTAAATAGCATCTCAATTAATGACAAACGGCAATTAGAGGCCCGAGACCTACAGCTAATCGGTCGGGGGAATGCTTATTGATTTGTTTACTAATCTAATCGATTGTGGTGCAATTTTTGGTGACCCAAAAACATGCTTTTTATAAAGCAATTACCGGCCCCTGCCATCGCTGGGGGGTCCCGAAAGCAATACAGTCCACAAATTATTCATACGAACATGTCCGTATGGGCTGTGATTTATTCAGAAACATAGGGCCAAACGTGCCGCCTGTAAATGCTCCCAATTGATACGACAATAGCAATAATCTCCTCGACACGGCAATGTGGCATACTTTCAGGCGAGGCGCACCAAAGTTCGGGCTCAAAAAGGCCCACAGTTGCAGTGTAGGAACCCAGAAAGCACCACCCACACAAGGAGGTCTTCAAATTGGATCACAACAAGAGAAAGAAGTCCACATTATTAGAAAAACCATCTACGACCTGTCCATCAAATAGTGCTCTGTAATCACTGCCAATTGAAATAGTTTCAAGGAAAATTGGACTGCATTGCTGACCATCTGTTATTGTGCACAGGAAAGACACACCATGCATGCCAATCGATAGCTAAGTTATGTAACCTTATTATAATAACATTTTAATTCTAACAAATTTGAGTGATTTTAATCTGTTAATAATGGGAAAGTTTTTGAATTAACCACAGAAAAATAACTGTTTAAGGACTATCGATAACGAAAATGAACTAGTCGATAAAACCGATAGTTATATTACTATTTTTAAGACGATTCGTGGAAAAACTTTAGTAATCAACATAAATATTATGTAAATTTAATAATGAGAAAGGGGTTTTAATTTAAACTTTTAAGGCTAACAAAAGACTAACCAAGACTACCGATAACAAAATAAAAACAAATCGATAATACCGATTAAGCAAATTTAAAAAATCGATGGTAAATAGATGTAGTGATAGTTCTAAATGTTCATCTCTCCAGAGATATCTTAACGCCAGGACTCTGGGCTGCGGTTTGGACCCACCATCGGCGAATACCGATGACCAAATTTACCTTCTGTCCATCAAGGGGTAATCAGACTCGAGTGTACGAAGGTGTGTTTGACAGATATGGGTGTGCGGACAAAAGCAATCGGCATGTCAGTTGAGCAGTTTAAAAACCCCGCCACCGGGAGTCGGGGGATACGGCGGAATTGTGAGCTTTGAGACAATGGCAGCGGGTGTCTAACAAAATGTTTTCGCATTATTCAAATGAAATGCTCTTTATTGTCTGCCAGTCGCCGTATCGTACCACCAATTGCAGCAACAAACAAATCAGAAAGGAAAGCCCAGGAGGAGGTCGCTTTTGAGGCGCAACAAAAACAAACAAAGGGGGAAAATCCGTGGAAATACAAAAAAAGGAGAAAAAATTATTACCTGCATTCAGCGAGAACAATGAATCACTTCTCGAAAAGGACGAGAACGGTGCGTTTGAAAAGCGCAACCATGGGGGATGCAGATTGCCGGATGGAACGTCCAAATCGGATTGGCTTCCAAAAAACTATTGAGTTAATCATCTCGATTTGCATTAATCTGATTGGCCAAAAGTCCCAGGCACTGCGGACATGTACATGGGACCAAATGCGTCCCATCAAATGCACTGAGCCTTATTACTGCTTATCTTTGGTATTAACTTGGGAAAATAAATGCATCCATTTGTAGGTCTCATGCATAACTTATTTGCTGTATGGTATGCAATGCAAATTAAGAGGATATTGATAAGCGGAATTTTAAAAACTCATTATAAGCACCGAAAATAAAATGTTTACCGTTGAAACCTCTCCAAAGTAGCACTCAGGAAATCACAGAAATTGTTTCAGCTGCAATCCTTAGTCCCGCCCATCGGCTTATATCAAAATGTAATGTCCGAATGCGTGGGCTTTGTATATCTAGGTATACATTTTGCGATGCATGCACATAACGCCCACGTCTTTTCAGCCATGTTGCCAACCTACGACTGCAGCTGCATGTATTCTTGGAATTGGACCTCATTGAAATCACCATTTACGGCTTTACAGCTAACCCCCCGAATCATTTTCTGGGAATTATGTAAAACAAATTGCGATTTACGCAGTAACTTCTAATAAAACCTTTTTAATTAGAGCCCAACCAAACTCATTAGCCAAAAGCTCATATTTCGAGCCATAAACTAGAATCTCATCAGCCGAAACCTTATTCCTGTTTAATTCCTGCTTTTTATCACAATCATGGTTAAAGGTATTCGTTTTTCCTTGAATTAATGCTGTCATCCTTGCTTTAGATACTCAAAGCATCTCAATCTTTTAAAGATCTTTAAACTTTTAATGGTTTTGTTCGCCGCAAAGGACTCAATCGAGATTCATCGTTTTTTCGCAGACAATTTCGCGAAAATTGGTTCACCTTTTGTGGGTCCCCGCATGACATTCAGAATATTTCAGAGACAGCGTCAAAAACGCGATATGAACCATGACGACAAAAAGAAGAACCAAAAGAAGCCCCACAAAACTTGACTGCAACGCCATCCAAATGGTTGGCAGTCAATGGGCCATCGCCTAGGCCTATATGGCCTACACAATGGGGGTCATTCGAATAGCATTGATTCGTTTTAACAAAGATAACGAAGTGAGGAAATAGTCAAACAATAGAAAAGACGTGCGATGCTTACAATCTTAGAGTGACTTAAACGAAGTAGTCAAAGTGTAGAAACAAAATACCTTAGTAAATGAATAAATTAATATAAAAATCATTGAGGTACGATTTGACATTGACATCCTTTTTTTCCTTAAGAGGGTTTATTTTTTATAGAGCCTAGTGATTAAAAAATATATAAAAAATCAATAATGATTTCTCAAGTATTTGATGATACGGTATAAAACGTATAAATTAATATAATTCATAATTTTTATTTTATTCTTAATTTTAAATAAGAAAATCAACGTTGTTTAAATAACTTGAACTCCTTTTTGGCTTTATTTAAATTTCAGCTCTAAAATCAGCTGAAATCAGACCTTGTATGGCAGACAGCTGTGGAGCTAGTGCCTTGGACTCAGGTGTAGGATATACTTTGGCTATGGGCCGCTCCTCAAAGTGGCAAGTCAAGCGGAGAAGGTGCAGAGGACCAAGGACGCTGCGGCCTGTGTGATATGTTAATTTGGGCTAAACTACACACCAACGGCAAATGGCGGATGCGAGAATGCTAGAATGCGAAAACGAAAGCGAAACGCGTCCTTCGCCAAATCCCAAAGGCGAAATGTGTCATACATTCGCCAGTTAGCGAAGGATTTTACTGAAAAAAAAAACACACACACAGTATTTTATATATATTTTTTCATCTTCCGTCGGCTGTCTTTGGCAGCTTTTTAGACCCGGACATGGGGCAGTTTTGATTTATGCCACAAGATGCGACAGTCTCGAGGAGTTTATGAAAATAAATCAGTTTGGCACATATTTTAGAGTTTTCGGCATTTATTCGGTACATTGGAAAGGCGTACGATTTTTAAATCACAAGGTCCAAACTGCGATTTTTGTAAAATAAATTAAATGTTGCACACAGATAGATTTTAAATATAAGAGAAATAAGATACTATTTTTATACTAGGTATATATTGAGCCATTTAAAGCTTGTATATATTGCTAAATAAACTTCATCTAATTTAAGATAATTTAAGATAAGACGTTTAATTTTAAATTAAATATTTCCCATTTCATCATTTTATTATTTATTAAGGTATTTAATAGTTTAATCTTACCGTTAATATATTTCAAATATTTCCCCACCACACGGTATCAAGGGGGGTATTCTACAATGATTTTGGTAAAAGATTCTTTGCGGATGCCATAATGAAAGTTGAGCCATTGTGGCACCCACCAGGACGCATTCCCGCCCACTTTGCCCAAACGCCCCTCGATTGACACGTTCGCCCAGAGACACCCATATAGATATATATATATCTATCCATTCTACCCTGAAAATCCCACACCTTACTGTCAAATTTAATGCGGTTCGCTGTTTATTAGATTTACACAAATGGCATTTTCGGCAGTAGGTTGCGCCACTGGAAATGGAATGGGGTTCGATGTGGATATAGATGGGGATGTGAAGGTCCTTTCTAGGCGTTAAGTGCTTCGTGGTGGGGCTTTTCCAACAACAACAAAAGCAACTCTATCGGCTGCCAAAAAACCGACAGCGAAATTATTGAAAATTCATTTAAATGTCAGCTATGTTGAAGGAGCTTCAAAAAATGGCACAACATGTCGTATGCGCAATATTAAATATTAAAACGTTTACATTATTAACAACAAACAGCGGAGACAGGCGGAAGGTGCCGAGACCTCCACACAGGCGAAATTAAATTTCAGTTTGCTGCACAGAATCAGCATATTTATGAGTGTTATGAGTGCTGCGTGAGTGTTGTGTGAGTGTTATGAGTGCGAAAAGCGAACGGCAGGCCAATCCGATTGTAAATTAGAAGGCAAACATGTCCACCATGGCAAAACAACGTCGGTGAACTAAGAGAAAATTAAATCAACGCTGTCATCATCGTTCGGTGGCATTCGACGGGATCCGTCAAAACAGATTGCAGCCTTAAACGCCGGCAAAAACAGCAAAAATCCCCAAAAATCCGAAAAATGTCCGTATTTT